CAGAAATCGAGATTCAACATACTGAAAAATCCTGGATACGTCACTGCATCATAGTTCCAGCTAAATGAGCTTCTATCAAAACAATGTCTCTATTTCTAGTCTATTCAAGAATATATAGTTTATTTCTTGCTTATTCATATTGAAAATATTTCTTTACAAAATAATTAAATAAATCGTCTATTATCAAGATTTTTTCCATATAAAACAAAATACATATGTTTATAAAATAATAAGTAGATATTTTTTTTATTGAAAATATCTTTTGTATAAGACTTACCAATGGTTTAGTACCATTCCGTCGAAAGAATGCTTTACATGATGAACACTATATAAGAACAAAAAAAAAAAACATTTTAGAAAATAAAGAAAGATCAAAACAAAAAGTAATAATTCTATTTACAGTCAATACATCAAAATTAATTCCTGTTGGTTTAGCTCCACAGATAGCACAATATCCTCGTCCTGGTTTTATTTTCTTATGTAATATTAATGATGTATCCGAAACATTAGTAACATCCATTGGAACAAATGTTGAATTATCATTATTAGAATACATTGTTAATATCGAACAAAAAAAAAGAATTAAAAAAATCAACGAAGTATTATATAATCTAAAAGTACTTTATGTAAAGTATGTGTTTTATATAATATAATAAAATAATAAAAATAAGGGGTTAGTCGATCAGAAAACCTTACGAGATAAATATCACGTGAGTAGACTAAATGTTTAGATGTGTAAAATATTTACCTGTGAAAGAAAAAAAAACAAAACATATTTTCTCTTGGTTTTTTTTTATTATTTGAAAAAAGAAAAGCAAAACGTGTCTATTATTCCTTTCACTAGTAAAATATCACGCAGGTAATGTCTGGTTATGTTAATACCTGGTGAAGTAATATACATAAGAAACAGAAGAAAAAACAAAAATCAATAGAATAGCAATAAGAAAAAAAATTATTTCGAGTAACACTTGAGAACTTATATAGAAAACATAGTGTTTCCAGACATTATCGATCAAAGTACTTCTTTTTTTTGTCTACAATATTTTTTCTATGTCTACTGTAGTTGAGACGAATGTCATTTATGTGGGGCAATTTTATCATTCATCGTCGCCTCAACATGCTTCTTTTTTTCTTATTCTTTTCTTTGTCTGTGTATAAAGGCAGACAGACAGAAGAAAAAAAAAAGCCACCGACCGTATTTTTGCTGACGTCAATTCGACCGAGAATCATCGACTATCAATGAAGAAAAAAAATGCACGCAATCTTTGTATTTTGCAAAGAAATAGAGAATGCAAAACGAGTACCCGAATAATGTGATGTTACTTGCGCCTTGTAACCTTCAAAAATAAGATGTCTCGTCTTTCTTTCATTGCTGTAAGATGAATGCTCAACAAAAGATTAACTTATACATATATATAAAATAATTTTAATTTTTCACATAAAAAAATATGTAGTTTTTTGGTTTTTTTATTTCTTTGTTTTTTTTTGTTGAATAATTCAAGAAAACAAATATAATTTTTTTTTTCTCTTCTCTTGTCAAATTCATAATAATTACTGACAAATATAAACACACATATATGATTAATTTTTTTTTTTGAACAAATAAATGTTTATATATATATTTATATGGCACAAATAAAAATGAACAGAAGCAAAATTGAAGCAAAAAAAAAAACAAAAGAAAAGAAAATGAAATTAAAGTTTTTATTAAATTAGAATAATTTTGCCATTTTTTTCAATTCTTTCTGTCTCCAGACTGGTTTTGATGTGTATTCAGCATATGTCATTTTGAAACGTTGAAGAAATTCATCATCATTTAAATGAATCTATAAATAAATAAATAAATAAATAAATAAAATATATATATCAATTGTTATTACATTTTTTTTGTTATTAAAATTTGACTATCACATTAGAATTTCTAAGATTTCAAAGAATCGTATGAAGTGTAACGGAGCTTTTTTTAATATATTGCGTTATTGTATTATATATAAAAGTCGAGGAATATTTACTTCAACGTACTAATTTATGAGTTTTCGTTGATCAATAAGTCAAAATACAAAATGAATCTTTTTATGAATTATAAGAAAATTTATTTTCGATTTGAAAAAATTTGAAAAAATTTAAAAAATGTAATTAGTATGAGTATTCTTTTTTTTAATTTTATACTCTCAAAAAGAAAAAAAGATAAGAAAAACAAAGCTTTTTTTTCGTATGACAAAAAAAACTAAATAAACAAAAATATTATTCAAATCTTAATAAAAATATTTCCTTTCATGTAGACATTCTTTATAATAATCTAATTTATTCCGTCTCGATTGTGACCTATTGAATATTTGTCATTAAAGAGTTGTTTTTTTTTTCCTCTATTTTTTACTATTTTTAATAGCTGACTACATCACATCATTTATTTATTACTTTGCATGTGTAACTCTACAAAAACAAACCAAATTTGACTTTCTTTAGACTTCCTTTCATGCTTGTCAGTTCATCCTATTATAGACATAACTTAAAAAGAAATTTCGACTTGTTCATGTCTTTTGAATAAGAAAGATTGTCATTTCTATATCATCATCAAGAGATAAATGCAAGTCTTAATGAAGTATTAAAAGAATGTGACAATGAAAAGCATTAGTTATCAACAGGTATAATAGAAAAATGAGATAACTAAAGGACGAAAAAAAGAAAACACAAGATCATTAGCAATGTTGTCTGCATAAAAAACAAAAAAAGGAAACTAAGATAAAAGCTCTTTTAATAGATTCTATTACTTCTCGTAATTCAGGATTAACATCTTCAGGCAATTCATCAGCTGGTTTTAATAATAATTCATATGAATATTTGGTTACTGTTGCTCGATTTATAATGTTTTGTTTCTAAATAATAAGAAAAATAATTTTTGTTTGCTTTTTTTTTTTGTTTTATTACTTACCGGTTTTTCTTTTATAAGTTCAGCGTAGATTTCAGGTCGATTATTAGCATATAACATTGATTTTGTTGCTTCATATGATGATTTTGACTAAGAAATAAATTCAAAATAAAATTTTTTCTTTAACACAACCAAAATTTTATATTTACTGTCCAATAATTTCTATCCCATGGACCAAAAAATCCAGTAAAATGTACAGGTTCATAGTTTTGTTTAGTTTTTATAATTGGTGTATCTTGATCACGATGACTTGGATCTGTACGTAAATAATCATAAGCAATGCGTTCAGCATCTTTCATTTCTGTTTTATTTGAATCTAAAATTTTATATGATAAAATTTATCAAATGTAAAAGAAAAAAGAAAATTCATTGGAATATATTCTTACTTTTTCCAATCCATAAAAATATACTTGTCCATGCATCTAATAGCATAACATCATCTTCATCAAGATCAACCTAAAAAAAATGAAACTAAATTTTTAAATACCTTTTTATAAATAAAAATATTCGATTGTTAATAACAAAAAGAAAACATATATTTATCTTTGGATTATTTAATTCATATTGATAAAGCTCAAATTTTAATTTTTTTTTTTGAAAACATTGAAGTCAATTTGTACGATTAGTACAAACATTGCCTACCAAAAGTATAAAATATAGTTATTTTCAATATTTTTCCGCTTTCTTAAGCGCTAAAAATAATCCGATTAGTGATTCAAACAGAGAACACTATCTTTAACAAACCATATAAAAATAACTATCAATTTCTGAAAGACGAGATTTTCAGAACCCTAGAGACCTACTCTTTCAGATCTGTATGACTCTTTTTAGCTGATATGTATCAGTCTGACTGAAGATCAAAAAATTGACTTTTCCACATAAAATAGTAAAAAAACTGGCTTTGCAGGCTAACGTAGAATTAATCTAGCCTAGCGAAAAAGGACCTTAAAGAACATAAAAATAACTCAATCTGTAGAGAATTATTTGCTCTATCGGTGTGTATGGTCGAAGCAAAATTGAATTTATCTCTTCTACATAAATCTTTAGAAATCTGATAGTCATATTTGATATTTTTGTCGTATGTAGCTTTTTCTACACGAATCAGTATTCTGATAGTTTTTAGCATTTAAGACAATATAAAAAATCATCATTTAATTAAATTTAAATACTATGATAGAACATTTTAGATTAGTTTTAACGTCTTAGCTGTTACTAGAGTAAATCTTGAAGATATTTTTTTCGAGTTAATTTCTATGCTTCGAAATTCTATATCAAATTTTGATTTTCGAATTTATAATAGGGATTTATTATTTTTGGACAAGAAAAAAAAAATGTTATTCAAAGATCTGTATAACGAATATGATTCATTCTTTAAAATTCTGTTTGCAGTTTTAGTTCGATGCAAATCTTTGTCTCATAAGTCTAGTCTTTCTATTTGTATTTACTCATCTCTAATTTTCGTCTCTACGCAAATCTTAAATAATTCTTAACTAGGCTATTGGTGGTGTTAGTTAGACACTGGATCAGAATTAGGGCGAAGGCAAATTTCCATAATGTTACTAAATAACTCTTAATGGAAAATTTATGAGTTTGATATGTTCGTTAAAGAAGGGTTCTTTAACCAAAATAATAATTTTCTATAAAAATTTAATTAAGAATGTTCAAGCTTCAGCAATCTGAACCTTTAGACAACCTTGTGACAAAAAAAAGATTCAGTCAAAAATTTCGAAGAACCGACTAGAAATCCAGATTCCTCGAACCTAAAAGCTTGTTATCAAACGATTAAAAAAAATCTTTCTCTAATGAAAAAAATCAGAGCCACAAGTTGTTCATTATCAGTTAACGTATCAACAAACTAGCCATCTCCTAGTTTTAATCTATTCAAACAAACAGAAAACCATTAGGACATTCAATTCCTCATGAAGTCAAAGCATTTATTTCTTTTTTGTACCTGTGTAAAATTAGGAATTTCAATAGCAGTTGTATGTCCACTAGCATTTGATACTTCATAAAGTCTTGCAGGATGATCATTTATACTAGTTAATGCTGATTGATGTTCACTTAGACGTTTATCAGAAGCATATGGTTCTTTTCCCGAAGGAAAATGACTCCAAAATTCATCTTTTTCTTGTCCTTCAAATACCATAATGGGTTCTCTTGAAAGGGAAAAAAAAATAAATACATTTGTTTTTTGTAATTTATTTCATGAAATTTTTACTTCGATTTTGAACTAGCTACAACTTTTGACATTTCACGTTCGTCACCTGTTGATCCTTTACCACACCATATGTAAACACATTGTGAAGTAAATAAAACAAAACAATCATTCGAATTCAATGATGAAGCACGTAGATCAACCTAAACAATAAAACTTTTTCGATTAAGAATATTTTGTTATAGTTCGATGGTCTATTGATGACATTGAGAATAAATCAATTATCAGAATATATCACGTTTATAGAATATTCTTTTCTTATGTTTACTTATTCTTGTTAAAACAAAAGTTTTATAACAAAAAAAAAAAATTTTTGATTGATAGAAAGATTTTTCAATCATTTATAGAATTTATTATTATGCAAAACAAAAAAAAGAGAATAACTTAATCATTTTATGACATGTATAATTTTATTATCGAAATTTCTTTTTATTGATCATAAAATTAGTATCTCGAATTAGAAGAAAAACTTTGGACGTATGTTCTTTTGAACAAAAGTCTTTCTTGACAATTGGGTCACAGTGTACTTTAAGACAAAGAAGTCTGAAAATTTATGTGTTCATGCTACACCATGAATGTAGGTCAATGAAAATAACCATATCCTGTTTGCTTGAGGATATACTGAGTTAGAATGCACGATGTCTATTTTTGCTACAAACCCCATAACTTTATAGGTGTAGGATGTTATGAGTCAACAGACCTATCATAATATAGCACTATGCTTCAGCTATTTGTCATACAAATTTCGTGAAAAAACGATCTATTGCCATTTTAAGATTCATAATTCAACAATAGTTCAATACATGAATCTGAAAAATTTAGAAAAGCTCTTTCTATATATTGAAATTTGGATGATCATTTTGTTAGTGTGAAGAAACCATACACATCAATATTCAAGTACATGAACTTATCATTTGAATAAAAAAGAAAGATCATAGATAAGGCTTAACTTACATGTAAAAGTATTCAGAATTAATCATGTTTATGAATAAGAAATAAGACAAAGTTTAATAGAGAGCCTATTAAGAAGTTTATAACAAAAATAGACATTAGTCATTATAGCCCTATATTTACTCAAACAAATAAGATACAGATATTTCTACTGACCTACATTCATGATAAATGACGTTTGATGAGGGGAAAAAACCCTCTACATGTTTTAATATTTCATAAGATAATTAAAATTCAACAAATAAAATACTTTCGACTTTTAAATTATTCACCAACTGATATTTATCTCTTTATAATAGTAATATGAGCTCAAATGAAATTGATCATCTCAAAAATGATTCTCTTATATAGTATACATAGATAACAATTGTTTTTTTTAATTAAGATTAAAATATAAAAGTAGAATAATTTGTTTCATATTACAACATTGACGAACAATGCGAAATATGATATCAAATTTCAATCTTATTTTCAATCATATTATGTGCAATACATCTCAATTAAATTTCTCTTTACTCAAGATTATTATAAGGTTGTTTCTTATTCCGATAAATGAGTATATAATAGCGAGAAAGTATAGATTTCATTGCATCATATGACATATTACTCAAAATAACAAATAGAAATTAAAGTAAAATATAGTATTTTTTGTTTTTGTTTCGTCAATATAATATACATATTATCTAGATTCTAAGAAAGAAAAAACTTATCTATGTATACATTGCTGATTTCCTCTCTTGATAATAAATAAAAATTTTATGAAAGTAGTGATAAAATATTTGTTGTTATAATTGGATAATGGCTTTGAGCAGCTTCCTTTAAATGAATGCCAAATTCAATTGTCTAATGGTGATATTTATTCAATGTAGATATAGACAACAAGAAAACAGAGAATAAATTCAACGCTTGTTTGAACTTCGATCTAAAACCTAACAAAATATACATCAATTTGAAGATTTTTTACAGAACTTCTATTAATAATATGTCATTATTATATTATATTAATCAGATAGACAGGTTTATGAAAATGAATTTATGTCCCATCAATATATACAAAAATAACAGACAGATAAAAATTCTATTAGTTTTTGTTATTTATGATTAATAAATCATACAATGCAATGAAATCTGTATTTTCTCGTTATATATATATATCCATTATCGGAGGAAAAAATAAAGCACATATATAATCCTTTTAAGTAAAGAGAAATTCAATTGAGATTCACTATATATTTACTTGTACAGCTTTTGTATCATATTTTGATAGACCACGAACTTGAAGTAAATATGTATCATCATTTTCACTGGTATTTTCATCATTATATTGTAAATTTCTAAAACCACTTCGTTTACCATGCTAATAAAACAATATAAAATTCAAAAGTAAAAAAAAAGAAAAGAAAAACGAAATAAGAGAAATCTATAAAAATAATTTACTTTAAAAATAATCATATGACCATGAAACATAGCCATAAAATGAAGTGGTTCTTTATCTTGAACAACACGTATAATTGTACCAGTACCATTAATTTTTTTATCTAATTCAACAGCACCAATAGCTGCTGCACCTTGTTCATCTTGACTTGAATGATGACCTAACCAAAAATAAATTAATGTATATGAATGTTGTTGATCATTATATGTATATTGTATAACAAATGAATCTCCAGAAAAAAAAATTCCATGCATTGATTCAGGATATGGTATCATTTTAAATTGTTCTATACGATAAATTTCTTTTTTTCCAGAACCATCATCAGGCATTTGTGTTGCAGCAGCTAATTGTGGATGTAAATGCATTGTTGTTACATCAAATTGTGATGAAACCATTTTAGCTAAATATATCAATAAGATTATTTTAGATTTATTGTATTGTTTTTGTTGTTTTTTTTTTATTTTTTTATTTATTGGTTCTTATTATTTAAAATAATCATGCAAAAAAGCAATACACCATTGTAACCTACCTATTTAACTAAGAATTCTGTGCACGAAGAAGAAGAAGAAGAAGAAAGGAAGATAATTATATGAACAAAAAAAAAAAATTAAGAAAAAAAATTAAATTTTAATTACCAATATGCCCTTTTGTATAAGTTTTTCCAAGACCTTTTTGAGCATTTGAATCAAGCCATGTTTTAAATAAAGCTATAAATTCCATTGGTTCACCACCGTCAATAACACGACAAACTTTTGTCGTTTTTGGATAACCTTTTTTTTGAAGAAAACCCTATATAATATAATAATATATATTAGTGAATTCCAATGTTTTTGTATTTAGTTTTAAAGTCTTATTTTTTCTTTTCAAATATTGAAAATGAAACTAAAGTTTTCAGGTTATTTAAAACAACAATTTTATTCTTCATTTGAATTAGAAACCTAATATATATACAGCAGTCAGTAATCATGAGATTTGTACGCTTTTGATATCTTTTCATAAATAGATTTAGTTTACTACGTGTCTTTTTTCTAATGAAACTGCATTAAAACAATTCTTCTTATAATAATAATAATAGGTCATTGAAAAGTATGGTGACTAAATTGAAATTTATGTTTCTTCTATTTTAATAATTTTTTTTTTTTATATCAAATACACACTCATGATCAAAGTATCGAAAATCGTAATGATGTTTATTGAGCTACTTCATATCTCCGTAATGTCATTAATTCACATACAGCACTTGGTTATATAATAGATAGCAAAAGAGATCATGCAAAGAAAAGAAAGCTCAGCGGGAAATGATGCCCATATTGTCACACTCATTTATCTTTAATATTTCAAAAGTTCTTCTTTTTTCCTTTCTTAATCTCTTTCATACGTTTTATCACGAAACATTGAACGATAATTTTCTATACGCGGGACTCATAAAATAATCTGTTTAAATAGAGCATTGGTTTTATGCTAAAGTAGCTGTTGAAGTTATTATATGTGTTTGATATCATGATACTCATCAACTTGACAAAAATATATAAACATGTTTAGCATAATGTAATTCAATAAATCAAAGAAGTTTACTCGAATATTCATCAATAGTCTGGTGAGAATTGATGTCATCATATTGAATAAATCAAAATACGCTCAATGGCTTCTTTAACACCAAAATTAAGTTTATGTTAAAAACGAATGATTTTATGAAATGTTCAATATTTCTTGATAAAATGAATGAAAAAGATTACTAGACAAAAAAAACGAAGAAATTTGAACAAAATTAGGAAAATTTAAAGTTCAACAACTCATTTTCCATACTTTGATTATGTAATATCCTAGGTTCAAAGTACGTGTATTTCATGTATAAAAATCATTATCAGAACAGGAAAACTAATTTACTCAAAATACTTTTCAATTACCTATTATTATATATAATTTCAAAAAAAAATTCTGGTACATAGATAGATTTTTTTTTCGATAAGAGACTAGAAATTGACAGAGCAGAAATAAAACATTGTAATCATGCTCAATTGAACTTTTAAGTTATAATTCTTTGAAGTAACAGTCAAGTGTAAAAGAACATTGGATAAATTGTTATATCTTATAAATAATAATATATTTAAAATGAAAATAATATAATGATTTTATAACAATAAATTAATTAATTTCTAATTGATTTGAAAAAAATCATATGATTTAACGAGTGGTCGAGGTAGGAAATGACTGGAGGGAGATTAGTCTCTTTCAGAAATATATACGTTCTTTTCAATTTCAAACAGTAATCGATTCTATCCTTCCTACAAGGTTTTTGTTTCGGAATCCATCACTAGATTTAACTTACAAGAGCATTACGCATAGCTTCTCGTCTTTCTTTTGGATTTGATCGTCGTCCAACCCAAACCCATATACCATATGCACCATTATCAACAATATATGCATCCTAAAATATATATTATTATACTAGACACAACAATCAATGTTATTTTAATATTTAACTAACTTCACTTTCTAAATCACTTTTAACTAATGGTCCAACTTTTTTTTCCGTTACTTTTAATGTTCCACTTTCATCTGAACATTTATAAAGTTTAATATGTGCACCATCAAAACGTTTATCATCATCATTATCATCAATTGTTTCATTTAAATTTAATTTTTTATCTTTTAATGGTAATTTACTTTCAAATAATTTTAATTCATCTTTCGTCATTTTCATTTCTTCACCATCTTCAATAATAACAATATTTGTTCTACCACGTTCATCACGTAATTGTTTAGCACGTTGCATAGCTTGTAAACGTTCATATCTATTAGATTTTGAACCATTCCATATAAATATAACTTCATTTAAATCCAATAAATAAACATCACCACGCGATATACATGACCAATCAATGGCTGGCATTTCGAAAAGACGTACTGTATGACGACCTTTTAAATGAAATAAACGTGGTTCATTTGTTGATTGATGACGATGAAAACCCGATGCAATACCACCTTGACGATATGTAACACCACCACGAGATTTAAAATAAGATAAAAAACGTTCACTTTCATTTCCTTGTACTTCTCGATGTTGTACAGCATTGCCTAATAAATGATCATCTAAATCGAAAAAAGTAACTTATTAATTTTCTATATAATATTAAATTATGAGAATATTTCCTTGTAGAAATAAATTTTTATTGTTTTTTTACAAGAAATGAAATTGATGAAAAAAAAGAATTTTTCTGTATTTATTCAATGAATCAAACATATTTAAAAAAAAAGCAATTGTGTAACCAAACGGTAGCTAAGACCCTTCTAGAAACGCTATCAGAGGATGTTCGTCTCGTCTACAAACATGATCAGAAGACTAAGGAGTATTTTTTTTTTCCAAAAATGTTCGACTTTCTACTAATTTTTTCACGATTTTGTGATAACCTTGAACAGAAGCCGGATTGTGAAACTATGATACCTTTCTCCGGCAGAAAGTAAAATAACATAAGCAGACAATATCGTTACGAGATGAATAGGATTGGGGTAGAGCATAATGCATCCGACTCGGAATAGACCGAGTTCGGATCTAAAGTTTTTTCTGTTAAGTGAGACTAGATCTGAAAAAAGTGCTGAGTTCAAAAATTTTTGTACACAATGCATTCTAGTTGTGAGAAGAAGTCAGATTATAGTGGACTTCGTTCCTTCCTTCTCAGTCACTGCTTCTAGAATTTCAAGGATACAAACACTTTCTGCCGATTTTTTTAGTCCCTCCCACTCATAAGAAATATTGATAACCTTGAGGTTGAGCTCTCTTTCCACTTTTACCTGGTTATAGCACTATAAAAAAAAAAGTACATGTCAAATATTGATCAATGATTTCTATGAATGATTCTTTATCTGATTACAATTCTAAGTATAGTTATTTTATAAACACAAACCTCATTTATTTAAAAAATGATTTGATCAAAGTTCTAACAAAAAACTTTTTTTTTTATTGACTCATCTGGATCCAGGTGACTATTGATTCAAACGAGCACGTTTTTTTTTTGAAAAATAACAACAATCTTAACTCTATATTGATCATAGAAATAATATAGATATTAATGAACGTGAATAGGACATTATGTTCATGCATTTTCTTGTTTGAAATTTGATCCGTTTTAAGTCAAGATAACGTGATTTTTTTTATTATATTAATAAATTGAAGAAGAAAATTTTGCAAATAAAATTAATAATTTCAATAATGTTGAATGAATCATTCAGAAAAAGAATTATTTCATACATTCATATCTTCATATATAAAACAAAATGTAATATATAAAGAAATTAATTAAATATTATATCTACGATGTAGGATTTTTGATTTTTCTCAAACTTTATAGTAAATTTATCATGTATAATCATCTTTGTTTTTTTTTGCATCTGTTCAGATAATTTTTCTATATTTTTTTGTCTACAGTAGACAAACAAAACATATAAAACTAGTGATAGTTATTGATTTTCAAAAGAATAACACTTTATACTAGACGAATCATAAGTATATTTTTACTCTTGAAGAACAAAATGAAATCAAGTATTATTATTTTTTTGTCTCTCTTTCATCATATATAAAATATAATATCTTTTAATAACACTTAATTTTACTGAGACATTCGCTCGTCTTTTTCTTTTGTTGTTAATATTATTTGCTTAACATTGAATCAACATAAGGCATTGATAAAATAGAAATAACATTGAAGCTATGAGACACATGTTAATATATTATTTAAGATAGAAAGTAATCATTATTAAAATTTGAAGAAAAATATATATTTTTTTTTTGTCGTGCACTTTTTTGAATAAAAATAATCTGATATATATATATAAATCCTACCTAATTCAACAGTTTTATAAGCAGCTACACCAGCTTCATCTTGTGTAGCTTCAGAACCAATCCAAAAATGTATATGTTGTATAAGATTTGATGGTGTTGTTGATGATGAACCGGTAGATTTTTTTATTTCTTCAGCATGATAAATAACATAAGCATCACCTTTAAAAAATATTCCATGAGATTCACGCGGTACAGCAACTAATTTAAAATTCTTTGAACACAAAAAATATAAAAAAAAATAAAATGAACAAAAATTCAATTCAAATTGATAAACAAACCTCTACACGCCATATGCATAAACAAGATTTATTTTTTGGTATTGAAGCAAATGCTGGATCAAGTTCCATTCCTCCACCGCCACCACCAAATCCACTATCAGATTCACTCATTTTTTTTATTACACACTCATATACATATTAACTAATTTTAATCTAAAAAAAAAGAAGAAAATCTAATTCCGACCTCTTACACATATATATATATATCTGTCTGTCATTTGATCTGAAGCGCGATTTGTTTGAATTCATTTATGTAGACATGTTGGTGATAGCGGGCAACAATAATAGCAATAAAAAAAATGGAGTCTACTACCATCACTATTTCTTCTATTCTATTACTCTATACTCTTGCACGTTCGTTCAATATTGGTACGAGGGAGAGAGAGAGAGAGAGAGAGCATACAATATGGAGGGTACCTACTTCTTTTTCAGTTCTCTTTTCTCTCTCTGTCTCTCTTCTTCTCATTTTTTTTCTAGCTTAGTGTACGCTTGCTAAGGTGTTAGTTTGTACGATGTTACTCTCTTCTCGTGTCGATCAATTATAAGCGCACACGAGATTCAAACAAAAACATCACATACACATATATATATATATAAATATATACAGACCACAATCGTGCAAAGCCCTAGAAGAGATTTAGTAACAATAACAAAGTATGTCACACCTATTTTTCAATGTGATGCAAGAGTTGAAATAAATAAATGCAAAAGAAAAAAAAGAGAAAAAGAAAGAATGAGAATAGGTAAAGTCAATCTTTTCTTCTCTTCTTATAAATACAACTGATGCCATTGAAATTATAGGTCGGCTTTCATCGAACAAAATGACAAGAAGAAAAAAAAATGAAAAGCGAACAGCTGTTGACTTGCATATTTATCGACATACAATAAAAATTAACGCAAACATTGTATAAGAAGTAAAAGAAAGAAAAAAAAGACTTTCTCGAATCACTACAAATGTAAATGCAGAAGAACGATGACATGTTCATCAAAAAAATATCATCAACTGAATAGAAAAGAAGAAAAAAAGGTGAGATTAAACTGCTTGGTTGGTTATTTCGAGCATCATATGAAATGAAAACTCAAATCTATTGATAGATGTCGATGATGAACTATTAAATATTCAACGAACAACTTTTATCTTGTATTTTTTATGAATCCTTATTTCATTTATTAAAAAAAAAGTATTTTCAAAAGACTCTTGACATATTATATTATGCAAATGACATTAAAAATGCATAGAAATACAAAAAGAAACGACAATATTTTTTAGACTTGGTTTTCATTAACAAATCTAAGTTTGTCTTTATATCGTGTTTATATTTTTCTATGTACGGTCATTATATGAGCTAAATTTATAGAGCTTAAGAATAAGACGGTTCTTTGAAGTGTAAAATAATTGCTCTAAACTTCAAAATACAAACCGACTTAAGAAGCACGATACGTTTGAAAATTATGATCATCGGATATTTTTAAATGTTACTTTGAATGAATATATATATATATAGTATCAATTTAATTTAAACTTCTCTCTTTTCATAATTTGTCTTGTAGTAGGACACCAAATTATGCAACTTTCTTCCTAATTAAAAAAATAATCTCTACAAATTATAAATTACTATATATGATATCGATAATTATTTTATTGTAATAGTATTCAATATATGTTTAAATAGTTTGTATCGAATAACAAAAACAATCAAGATAAATATTGTTCTTAACTATATATAATATTCGAAATTTTTTCTTATATCTACAAAAATTTATTTATATTTGAAAATTCATACGAGCAGATATCTTTTTATTCAAAATTGACAAGATAAGTATGTCAAAATATAATGAAATTTGATGTTGTTATTGTCGTACATTTTGTGATGGCAATCATAACATAGAATGAATACTATTCTCATAAAGCGTGACAACACATCTATCTATCGACTAAATCAATAATCGATTCGGATTAATATCAATATCAAACATTAATCATACAATGATAATAAAATAAAGACAGGATATATTAGTGATTATTCAGGTACATACTCATGTATTATCAATCTCATATAACTAAATAAATTGTAACTTATTGTATTATTTACAATGCAATGCCATATTCTCGACAAAGGACATATAATATTTATTGATGAATGACGTGATAAATGTGCAATTAATAACCAATGAAACTGAATAAATATGCAGAAAAAAACAAATGCTCAAGCGAATGCTGACTGATAAAATGTCTATTGATATTCATATAGATTTGTTATTAATTATGAGAGAATATTTTCGAAAGATTGATTATCTTAAATCGAATTTTAGTGAAAAAAAAAGAATAAAAATCTATTCATCATTTTGATTCGTATAATGATAGAAGAAATTTAAGCTTGATATCGTTTCTGTGACAAAACAAATATATTAATACATTTTACTGACTTATTCTCAATCATATGGCAAGATTTATTAGAGAAAAACAAACCCATAATGATAATCCTCGTTTTTTTTTCAATTAAAAAGTTTTATACAAAAGAAAATATTTAATATTTGCTTTTATATTTAAATGGATAAGCAAAGTTTCAGATAAATAACTGAACGCATAACAATCAATTGTTATATGATGAAAATCAATTACTACTACAATTACATTAGTCATATCATATTATTACACTCGCTGATCAAGGTAGCATATAATGGAAGTATAGATTAAGAAAGAAGATCGAAATAGCTAAATTAACTTATTTTTATTCATCTAGTGAATATTTATTCCAATTCAAATAAAATTGTTTTTAAATTATGCAGACCTATTCGCCAGTTCAATAAATTCGAAATTTTTATCAGTAATATTTCGAGTTTGGAAAATAAATTATAATGAATATCTTTGATTGATGTTTTTAAGCATACAGCTATGTGAAAGTCTTAACCAATCTATCAAAAAATAAATGATTTGTTACTACCATTATGGTTTTTTTGTATTGAAAATTGGCTCCATTTTCATTTGTATTAATAATTATAGAGATTTAAAACATATCATTGTTTACAGCATTTTATACAATTTGCAGATGATCTTTTTCTACAACTAATATTTATACATGTACATTCTATTGAGTTGGTAGAAAATGAAAAATTAAATAAAGACTATTAAGTTGCGAGACTATTTTGTCTACGAAATTCCAACTTCTTAGAAATTTATGGTTTACATTACGAATCAGTTAAACACTTGATGAAGTTATCTAGAAAATCTTGAACTATTTAAAAACAAGGTTACTCATGAACGTAAAATGTGAATTTGAAAAACTTTAAATATAAAAAATTAATATCTACAATTCATAATTTAGAAAGAAAGCTACAATATGATTATTATTCGAATGTTTGTTTTATTTCTCAAAAAATATCTTTTCTAGTCCTGAACAAAAACTACATCGTTTCATTTATTATTTAGTAAGAAAACTGGATTTTTATCACTTCTTTCAGCAGTAATGTTGATAACCAGATACTAACGTTCTTTGACAACAAAATTTCTGTGTATATGATTGTCTATGTCGTAAAAATTGACTCTATTTGGACGCTAAATCGAGATTAATCGGTGACTATTTGGACAGATGGGATTAATCGGCGATTTGGCCACAAACTGCAGCAGTAGATCTTTATAAATTTTTTTTTTCTTTGTTTAGATTAGTCACAAGAGTAAAACGAACAGTAAGTATTATTGTGTAAAAACAACTTTTGTTTATTATTATTATTTAAGTTATAAGGAGAAGACAAAATCATCTCTCACCTCATTCATGAGAAACTTTATGTGTACGATAATCAAAGGCGGTCACTTTGTCATCAAGACATAGCCGTTATACTAGAAATGAGCATTGCGACTAAGTTCTATCATCGTAAATGTCACAAGAAAGAACACAGTTTTTTGTAAAAATGAGAACAAAGATTTAGAAACGCTGATTTTTAAGTTATTTTATCTCTATATACTTTCATGATAAAACTGAACATAAATGCACGATTCTGATCACATGCATAATAAAAACTATTATCCAGTTTAAAATAGAAGAACCGTCGGTACTTTTTTAATAATTTCAAATAGAAAGCAGATACGGGACTGCGATTTTTACTGTTGGCAAGAGAAGATGAAGATGCATCGAATTATATATTGCAGACTTTTCTGACAAGTCTTATTGAGTATTTTTTAATCGAGGTTTTGATAAATTATGTATTACACTCAGTTACCACAGAAAATTTTCGATTTTTAGGAGTGCATCAGAACCGGCAATCGAAGATCTACAAAACTGTACAGGATCTAGATTATTAAGTTGTAATGTTCAGAAGTTAAAGACATTTGACTGTGGCCTTCTACCTGATTTTTCGAGAAAGTTAGGCGAAAATTCCACTTTTTCGCTACATTTTCATGCAAATTGACTGTACCAATCGATCTTAAACGTACACATTTGTTTGAAAAAATTCAATAGAAACTCTCAAAACACTTGACAGTGAAATCTGCATTATATCATTCGATGTGTCGTCGTCTCCTCTTTCTAACAGTGAAAACTGCAAGTCTGTTTTTGCTTTCTATCGAAAGTTATTAGAAAAATACTCACGAGTCTTCTATATTGAAATGGATAATAGAATAGACTATTTCATTTAAAGACCATAGAAAACAAAGTTTTCGGTTCAAATTTCCTTTGATGAACAATAGTCATTGGTGATTCATCTGTACTGATCCAGCTTGCGTTTGTTGACATGGGTTCAGTCAGTTTATGACAAATCCATGTCGCATCACCTGTTATAATATTTCATAATCGTCCTTATCCATCAAAAAACTTTCCCTGATTTTCACGATAAATCCTAACTCGTTCTTGCTTTTGTTCATCATTAAGTTGATGAAACATTAAACTGGACGTTACTTTTCTCATCTTTAGGCTATCGTGAATAATTCACTCTAGTGTACCATGAGAAAGAGAAGTCTCAACTATAATATTGTCATAAGTTGAATATGAATCATTATTAATAATTTGTAGTAACAACTCAATATTTTACATTTCCTACTTCGGAAACTGGACGACCAGTTCGATGATCAACACTGACATTTTTTCATCCTGCATGAAAATACTTTCCATTGATTT